GTATGGGCATATTAGCCGGGGTGCCAGAAGCAATGCAAATGACTTGCAGACAGGAATGGCATTTACACTCTGTACATAGTCAGCTGGATCACTGAATTATTTAGATTAACAAAATAATTTCTAGAATCAGCAAATAGAAAGCAGAACAGGTGAAGAACAATCCCTAAAGACCCCGATTCCTCTGTCTCAGGCATAATCAGCGCTGTAGCGGCATATTGCCCCAGATACATCTGTCAAAACCGTTTTTGCTTCAAGGATTGCGATACTTTTAGTTCTTTTCACGTAATACAACGAGCAACTCTGCAAATGAAACCCATTACATCTGTCTTCTCTTTCCCTTTGCTTTGAGACCTGTTATCGCTGGCTCAGGCAACTGTAAACATTGCATTGTTTACATTCAGCCTGTCTGTAGGTTACACACTGTATGGGGAGCGATGCAAAGGTCCATAGCCTCACCCAGAAAGAAAAGACTGAAACATTTATTTTTCAACAATTTCCAACAATCTTGATGGTTTGATGTATAGAATCAATCTTGATGGATATGTATATATACTGTATATAGAATCAATATATATTTGATTCTATACTGCACTGCACTTGTGTGCTCACTTGAGAAACAAAATCAAAATGGTGGAAGAAGAAAGAAGCTCCTACATAAGTTTAGCTAAATCCTACCCACCCCACCATCGTATATGATTCCAAACAGCCAATTGTGGCAAGCAAATTGCACATATAGAGCTAGCCCTGATACCCTCTAAGGGCTTAGTCCTTGTCTGCAGATGTTTTGCTTTTTACAAAATACAGTGCAGACTGCAGACAACGATGAATGTAAACAATGGCATGGACCTGTAACGACAGCTCTCAAAGGCCAGGGGATGAAATATTTGCACATTTTCTTATGGCCCCTGTATATATTAAAAGAACAAGGGCATTTTGAAATGACAGTTATCCTTTTTTTCTGGACCTATAGACAAATATTACATTAGATTTATGTTAGCAGTCCTCAGGGGTAAATAGCAAAAAGGAAGAGGGAAAATACTTTAATATCATGATACCACAGCTTCCCTAGGTACGTAGACTTTGCTGGGTAGTGATTAGTCATATGATCCCAACTGAAAAGGCTGGATAAATGACTCTGATTGGCTGGCTTTGCTTCAAGGACCACCTTCAAGGTGCCTAGGGAAGCTGTGAAAACACAGCTTTCCATAGGAATGTAGACTGTCCTCGTAGTGTATGGTCACATGATCTCAACTGAGAGGAAATTAATTTGATTGGCTGGCAGTCCTTCAAGGACCACCTTCAAGGTGCCTAGGGAAGCTGTGAAAACACAGCTTCCCTAGCTACGTAGACTATGCTGGGTAGTGATTAATCACATGATCCCAACTAAAAGGCTGGAGGAATGACTCTGATTGGCTGGCTCTGCTTAAAGGACCACCTTCGTGGTGCCTAGAAAAGCTGTGAAAACACAGCTTTCCATAGGCACTTTGACTGTCTTTGGTAGTGTATGGTCACATGATCCCAACTAAGAAGAAATTACTCTGATTGGCTGGCTGTCCTTCAAGGACCACCTTCAAGGTGCCTAGGGAAGCTGTGGTAACACAGCTATCTATAGGCACATAGACTGTCCTCGTAGTGTATGGTCACATGATCCCAACTGAGAGGAAATTACTTTGATTGGCTGGCTGTCTTTCAAGGGCCACCTTCAAGGTGCCTAGGGAAGCTGTGAAAACACAGCTTCCCTAGGCAAGTAGACTATCCTTGGTAGTGTATAGTCACATGATGCCAACTGAGAGGAAATTACTTTGATTGGCTGGCTCTGCTTCGAGGACCCCCTTCAGTTGAGATATACAGGACCACATGCCACCCTACTGCCCATTATGGCCATATGTTTGTATACCAAACCATAGAGACAAAAACAATTGCAGTTCACCTCAGAGCAGTTGAAGTTGGACGGTAGCTGGACCTTCTCAACCATCATTACATCCCTTCCTAATCAACATTGCATTCAGCGTTGAATCTGCTGTATAGTTTTAAGAATCAATCACCACTTGAATTTGTTATGTTTCAGTGCAAAGTTGAAAATAATATATAGTATAAAAATATAAAATAATAATTGCAGAGTTCAGATGAACCTTTCAAAAGGAAACAAAAATACCAATAAAATAGGTTACAAAAGAGGTAAAAATAAATATTCTACTTTGTAACTCTTATATAACAGTCATAGCAACCAGTCAGCTTCCAACCATCATTTCTACAGTCCAGGACTGGCTTTTTCAATGGCCATTATAGGAAACAAGAAATGTTCTCCTTACCTCCCAACCTCAGTCCCGGTATATATTGTGTAGAAGGAGGTAGGAAGGCTCCATCTTTCTTGTTTTCATGTGAGAACATTTTTGAGAACCTGAAGAAGAATCTGTAGTGTACTTCACAGTGTATGTCCAGCCAAAACTTTTTTTTTTTGGTGTGGGGACGAATTAGAGCCCCTGCTGAGTTTTTCTGCTATCCAGGCCTCTATTAGAGAGATTTCCCCTCTCTTCCTATCCTGGTGGGAATGGTTTCACCAGATTGGAAAAGAGGGAAAACCTGCAACAGACAGATATAATTTATATTAGTAGAGCTAGGCTAGCTAAAGCTAGAACCAATGTCCGTAAATAAAGGAATTGAGGCTTCAACACCAATTAAAACAGTCCAGATACAACTTTATTCCATTAGGGTCAGGAAACATTCAAGTAGAGTAGGCGATGTGTTTTGATGGACCAAAACACCCCTCCCCCAAACCAGCTGCTGGCAAGCCTGATGTTCTCCAATCACAACTCAATACAACCTTCTAGTAGGGATGCACCGATACCGATACTAGTATTGGTATGGGTGCCGATGCCAAGTATTTGGGTGAGCACTCGTACTTGCCCAAATGCTCCGATGCCTAGCCCGATACTTAAGCTTCTGGTATCAGGAAGCCGGGCAGCGAGTCATTACACGAATGCCCGGCTTCCTTATTGGCCGGGAAGCCGGCTCCATGCCCCCTCTTAACTTGTGGGGAGTGAGCATGGAGCCAGCTTCCCGGCCAATCAGGAAGCCGGTCAGCGTGTAATGACCTGCTGCCTGGCTTCCTGATTGGGCGGGAAGCTGGCCAATCAGGAAGCTGGACGGCGAGTCATTACATGCCCCCCCCCCCAGCTTTCTGGTTGGCCAGAAAGCTAGCTCCATGCTCCCTCGGCACCTGGTGATGAGGATGCATGGAGACGGCTTTCCTGCTAATCAGGAAACCGGGTGTCGAGTCAGTACATGCCGCCTGGCTTCCTTAATGGGACTTTAATGGTATTCGGTATTGGCGAGTACCGTAAAAAAAAATTTCGGTACTCGTACACGTTACCAAATAAAAGGTATTGATGCATTCCTACTTTCTAGCTGCTGGAATTGTAGTCCACATGTATGTTTTTTTTTCCATTAAGCCCCGATGAAGGGGGGGTGTTTTGCGACAGATGGCAAAGAATTCCCAGAGCACCGTGAGTAAGCTAAAGTGACAGCAAAGCAGGAATCGTCTTTTAGACAGGCTGGCTCTCATTGACATTGAAACCACCAAGGAAGGTTGGCTAAGGAATGGTTTATCCAGGGGCGTATCTGCCGCGAGGCAAACAAGGCGTTTGCCTGGAGCGGCAGATTCCCTGAGAGCGGCACTTGCTGTGGTTCTCTCCCCTTGATAAATTTTATTTATCAAGGGAAGAGAACCGGAGGCTATCGTAGCGGCGGGGACGAGGCCGGCCGGCGGGGACGAGGACGGCGGG